CTTCGGTTAGATAAAACCATACACCGACTAACTCCAGTCTGCATGGAATTCATTCTAATTCAAATCGATGGCGATGCAATGAGAGTAAACGGAAAGCTTACTCGTTGTTCATAGTTGACGGATCTTGCAACATGCTGCCGTGGAAGAATGCGGGCACTTTCATACCGCCCTCAAACGTCGAGGCTTTGTTCCCTCTGTACGGATAGTTCGAACCAGCAAATAAGTCATCACCGCCATTCTGAAAAAAAAAATAGTTTAAACAAAAAGACATTTTTGAAGCGGGGGGAGTGGTCCCCCAGCAATGCGGTTCGATACGCATGGCGACGTACGCAGCGCGTGTAAAATACATTTATTACACGAAATTCAAACATGCGCTGCACGACGACCACTGCCCCTTAAATTATTACAAATTTCAACTTACGTCACTGAGGAACACAAACAGTGTGTCATCCCAAATGCCAGTGTCTTTCAAGGCCTGTGTGATGTTACCCACACCTTGATCTATGGCTGCCATCATGCCTAATAATGATTATAGAAGTACACAACACAAAAGAAAATATCAAAAATTTCTCCAGACTATAGTACAATGAATACATTAGTCCACTACTAATAATTTCATTAAAATATTTCTAGCGAGTACATCCTGTAAGATTCATTTGTGGTCACGTGACTTGCAAATATACGAGTATAGTATTTTTCATATATATGCCTAATTTGTGAGAGAAGCGTATAGAGGAATTACACACACAAGTGCAATAATTCTGATACAATTTATCTCGAATTTTGTTATTCTAAGTACTACATCAGCGGTAAGCGGTACAATGGAGGACGACCAATTTTAAACGTTGCAATGGTGTGGTTGAGAGAATTTCTAATGGCGAAATGCACATATACTCGTTATGAAATCAAAAACACGTAAATGTCTGAAAAATTTATCGAAAATATCACCTGACTCATCGCATGAAATGCACAAGGTTTAGGCGATGATTTGAAATATACATCGCTTTTTGAGCGAATTTGTAATAATGCCGGAAATAAAAATACAATTTTTATATTAAATCTATATGCTACAGAATAAATTAAATTTGATATATTTGTAGGATTTTTTGTAAAAAAAATAGCGAAGTTTCACGATCTTGTTGATTACGTAAACATACAATACACCATTTCAATAAAGCACGCCCTCTGGTGTCAGAGTACTTATTTATATGTGAAGTCAAAATGACGTATGAGAGTGAGTGCAATGTCGTTCAAATCGACAAGAGTTTTCAGTTGTGTAGTCGTTCGAGAATTTACTAGTAGTAAAAAATCTCTAAAAATAGTGTGCAACGGAAGTAAATAAAAACGATGACGACGTTGTGGGCGTACTTCGTGCCATTTACGTCATAAAAGCACTTCGTCACTAGAGGGCGCGATTTATTTGAAAGGTGTACAGCCAATGCACCTTCAGTTTGGTAACTATTCTCCTTTGTTCTCGCGGCTGTGATACAAATTTTGGAAGAGAATCGTGTAAAGGCAACAACTTACCGCCAACAATTTTCCTATCAGCGTCATCGACTTGTACAGATTCTTCAAATCCAGCCGGAACCTGTTGCATGAGAAATGGCCAGAAAATGTGAATTACTAGTATACGGTTCACGGATAGTTCAAATGGCGAAATATCATTTTGGGATGATTATTAAATATTCTGTTTTGCATGTTTTCATAATTAACTAGTAGCATTCCAATTCGTTTACAGACGTCAGGCTCTGCATTTACTTGACGATGACCCATTGCATCCAAAGACGGAATTTAATTTCCATCTTCTAAATATTAAAACATAATAGGTGATTTTCCGAACAATTGCGAAATCTCGCGAGATGCATGAAAGACGCGCGTCGAACGTCTGCCGCAAAAATCGAACGATTTGATTTTGAACTAGAATTTCTTTATTTCGCAGCTTACATTGACCGGCCGATCTTCGACAGAGGAATATTGCTTCCGAATACCCTCACTTAATCGAAATTGCCTATCATCAAATGTGGACAGCACATTATTAAGCATGGAAATGTCCCCGAAATACTTTCGCGTTTGTCGAATCCCACGCGATGTTTGACGCGACTACGACGCTATGACCTTTGTTTGTCCTGTTTTTACGTTCGATTTCACGCATAACGCGTGATTCTCGCAGTGTGCGGAAAATGGTCAACTCTTGAACATTCCCTCATCTATCTTATAGGTGCGACTGGTCTTCTTCTCATGTTTATTTTAAAATGTGTCCTAGTACACACCGTGTACTATATGTTTGTCCGATTTTAGAGAAATTGTCATTAACATTACTAGGCACCAAATGTGCTCCTGTTCCTGAGTGCCGTGTAACTCTAGAGTACACATAAGAATTTGACATTTTTATTAATGTATTATTTATACAATGTTTTGCCTAATAACAGAGATTAAAATCAGTCAACGTCCTATTGCAAATAATGTCTATCAATTAGTTTATCCATTACTTAAATAAATGTATTAAAATAGTGGGATACTTACTTGGAGTGGGAAGTGTGGTATCATATACGCAACGTAGAGAAATAATGGAGAGGATGGATTGTGATTTCTAACAATTTTCTCTGCCCTTTCAGTAAATAAAAACTGTAAAACGAGAAGAATATAAATAAATAAATAAATAAATAAATAAATAAATAAATAAATAAATAAATAAATAAATAAATAATAATAATAAAT